TGCAGATACATCACTGAGGGCAAATACCTTTTCAGTAGAACCACTTCAGAGTGCTGTCCTCCTCGGGAAGACAAAATGCCTTGTGCCAAATGGTCTCCCGTGCGCTCCCTGCTTAGGAATGTAGACTGAACAAGAGAGTTTTGGGGATGATGCACCCAGCCTTGACAAGTTAGCAGGATTTTCTAGGAGTCCTGGGCTTATAAAATGCAGGGCCCTGGTCCTGCCAGCTGTGCCTTGCGGCTGGGGCCTGTACACAGGCCCCCGCAGCCGCTCTGCATGGCAGGGGCCGTGCAGCAAAGGAGGTCGGTGACACATGGCTGATTCTGAGCACAAAGAGGGCAGGGCGGTGGGAGAGAGGGGAGCCCATCTCCGTTACCCATAAGTGTACTGTGTGCTCCCCCCAGTCCTGTCACAGACGATACCAGATGACCTTTGAGATTCCTTCCAACCCAGACCGTTCTATGATCCCCCGCAGAGGCTGGCTGTGCTTTGCTGCTCCTTAGCCTGTGCCCTCAGATTGGGCAGGATGGATCCCAGCATGTCTCTTCCTTGTTTATCTCCCTCCCAGCTGCCCTGCTTAAGTGGGAGGGCAGAGTGGGTGCAGCCAACACTGTTAGAAATGCCTGTGCTCTTCTAGCAACTCTCCAGACCCACCTTCTTCGCCCGCAAGTTTGAGTCGACGGTGAATCAGGAGGTGCTGGAGATCCTGGACACACATCTCTACGGCAGCTACCCGCCCAATACGCCGGCCCTGAAAGCGTACTGGGAGAACGTCTATGACCGCGTCGATGGGCTCAGCGGCCTCACTGATGTCACCCTCACCTTCTACACAGCTTTTTCCAGGCTGGGGCTCCACAAAGCCACGTCCACACCGGCAGCAAAGGCTGACAAGCTCTGCAGGTGGGGTAGTTGCTGCAGGCTTGATCTAGGCACCAAGTGGTGTCCTGCATCTCCTGCTGGGAGGATGCTGATGCTCAGATGTGCAACCTTTCTGTCCTGTCTCTCTTTTTAGATTTGAGCCCCGGGGCTTCCCATCCAGTGTGCACTTATATTTCTATGACGACCGTTTCCAGGGTTACCTGGTGATGCAGGAAGTGCAGAATTTGGCAACTGGACAGGCAGAGTCCCTGGAAGTGTGGATGATGCCCCAAGGGGCTCTGAAGCTGGCAGGTCACGGAGGGCAGGCCAACCGCTTACAAAACCTTGAGGTAAACGGGAAAAGTTTCCCTCTCAATTTCCACTTTCCTCCCCAGCTTTCCCACACCATGCTGTCCTTCCTCCTTTCCCCCACATACATGCTGTGAGGATAGAGGAACACGGTGTGACATCTAAGAACAAACCTTTGCCTGGGAGTTTAGTTGGTGGAGAAAAGGCCTGAAGGAGATTGTTCAGCGGGGAGCTGAGGCAGTGGTGTCTGACGCCTGCACCTGCAGGAGGCATCACACAACTGGATTAGTGCTGGCACGGTGCAGGCAGGAGAGCAGTGGAGAGTGGGGTGTGCATTGCTTTGGGCTCCAAAGTTTATGCCTTCTGTGGTTCAGGGAGGTGGAACACCGCACCTGAGCTGATAGCATCTCTCTGTCCAGCATCCCACTGCTTGTGCCTCCTGTCCTTCCAGGTGGGCACAGAGTGGGACCCCAAGGAAAGACTCTTCCGGAATTTTGGAGGCTTGATGGGGCCTTTTGACGAGCCGGTGGCCATGCAGAAGTGGTCACGGGGCCCCAACCTGACGGCCACGGTGGTGTGGATTGACCCCACCTATGTCATTGCTGCCTCCTACGACATCGCGGTGGATGCTGAAGCAGAGTTCACCCAGTATAAGCCCCCCCTCAATCGGCCCCTGCGCCCTGGCATCTGGACCATCCGCCTCCTCCAGTTCTGGGAGCCCCTGGGGGAGAACCAGTTCCTGGTGGTACCCCAGACCTTCAACCGCAAGCAGCCTCTCAGGAAAGGTGAGGATGACGTGGAGTCTGGGGCTCGATGGGAGGGTCTCCCTGCGGGCAGCCCAAGGTGCTTCCCCTGGTGCTGGTTATCAGGGCTGCGGCTGGTGACAAGGCAGGAGCCAGCCTTCCCACTGGTGGCCTCTTGCCCACACGAGTCCTTAAACCAGGCCCCTGGGCAGCTGTGGAGGCCTCATTTGCAGCTCAGCTCCATCCTGCAGCCCCTCTCCTTGGGCTGAAGGAGGGTTGGGGTTGCAAAGGGATATGGGGGTGCTGAGCCCCGCTGGGAAGGTGCCAGGGTGGATGTTGCCGCGTTGCTGATCCCCTCTCTCTTCTCTCCCTGTCCTGCCCAGACGACAG